CAATAGAAAAGCACAATTTACATCTGACGCGCGTTTTATTATTAGTCAAATAGTATTGTTGATAATCTGTCGTCCCCCTAACTTCGGTTCTATTTAATAATTCATTTGGCGACGCAAACTTTTTTAGACCGCTAACGATGAAATCATGTAAAGTGCTTACTGGCAGACGCATCAGTGGTCCAATCTGCATACTGTCTCCTTGACAAGACACAAGTATCCCCCGAGCGTATACATAGTAACGATCGAGAAATTTATTACGCGCAAGTCTGAGGCATATATCCTGCCGCTCGCACGGATTACTGTAAATTATCTTATCTATCTCACTTATCTCAAACACGTCGTCATTCCTGTCAGCCCGCACGCAATAGGTGAAAGTCTATAATTACGGGGAGCTGCTCGCCCCACGAGTAAACGAGTTTTAATATCGCCCGCGAAAAACCGAGGAAGCTTTACGCAGCTTGGAGGCCCATTATCATTATAGAGTGCACCGCGGATCGAGCATGTTCATCCCTGTCGGCCCCTTCACCTATCCCCGGAACTTCAAAAGTTCGTCTCTGCCGGAATGCATATTATTAAAACATTCCAGAGTGCTCCCTATCGACCTCGGCGTGCCCTGCAGGAACGCCGGTGGTTTCATAATTTCTAGCGTATCCACGCCGAGCTTTCAAATTGTTGGCTATTGTCGTGAGGAAATCTCATCACCTCTCTCGCGTAAATGTAGCTGATAAAATCTTGTTTGGGCTTAATTTGTATATATTTCTCGATTATGCGTGACTACAAATAAATGAGTCAACTCGCAAGCTTACTTGTAGCTTTTGGATCATTGAGAAAAATGAGAGAGTAACGCTTATAAAATTAAAATAAATCTATCCCCGGATACATTACTAAAATCATGTGTTTTACATTTCGGATTAGGATATTACTTAGCTTTAATAATCAGAATATCAAGGTATTTAATTGTTTTCTGCAGAAGAAAATTCTTTTTTTTCACATTTACTCTTCCTTTCCAACGCAGGAATTTTTGTCTGCGACATAAAGTACAGAAGAATGCGTCTACAAAAGCTTTTGCAACAAGATATTCGTCCTTTGTACAACAGGATAAGCAGAATGCATAAAAATTCAAATAAACCGCTTTTTGCTCCTGACTTTTGTTGTAGGATATTACGCGAAGAAACGATAGCGCGTCTATTATCGTTTCTTCGCTACCTTCCTGTAGTTAACTTCTTGCTAACGGGCGGATGTCTCAATTAAGATCGAAGACGATCGACTGCAATTACTGACGATTTTCACACCGCCATTCTACCGCGTCCCCCGTTCTTGCGATCTTTTGCTTCCTCTTCCCTTTGAAGACACAATAATGGCTACCTTGCGAAAACAAAACTACGCTTTGCACGCGCATCAATCAATTATTATGCTAGGAGATACGCAGTTTCATTCAACAGAAGTTACACGAATTGTTAAGTACATTGCAAATGGACAACTTGAATAATGCCTGTGCGTTCTTATTCAAAATTTACTTAAATAAAAATCTAATAGAGAATTTATTTGTGCAAAACTTACTTTAAAAAATAGTAGAAACTATACTTATAAATTAATTGTAGCTAAAAAATTTGAATATACAAGGTAAAGAAAATTGGACAATGCCTTATTTACAACAAGTAATCTCGTAAGATGATACAAACAAGAATTCCGTTGGTAGAATGGAAATTTCGATTTTTTTGTCGTACAATTTATAATACCATACATAGACATCCATGGGCGTAACTTCTCTCTCCAGAGAAGTCGTTGGAAACTCTATGCCGCTGTTTAAGGCCATAATTTCAGATCGCGAGAGACACTTGCTCTTTCCCAAGATAGCTCAAGTGAAAAACGTGCGTACGCACAAGTTTAAAATAGGAGAGTGGACGCGGCAGGATACCTCTTTCATTGCACACCGTTCGAGAAAACGGTCATTAGCATTGAATCGCGCAATAAATTACGGCCATGATACGGCAATCGCGAACCCTAAAGTAATCGCCCTCCTTCACCGTGGCGTAAATCGGTCCCTGGCTAATGCGGCGTCGCAATAATGTACGGATGTGAGTATGCGAATATTTACGAGAACATTTAATTAACCAACCATGCTTAGCCGAAATGTCGGGTCTCGGGAGGATCTTATGGGAATTCTTCTGCGGATATTGGTAACGCGCACGACATCAGCTCCTCTCCCTTTCTCTCTTTCCTCTTACACTTCGCCCTTCACGGAAGGATTTCGTACCTTTTTTTCCAAGCCGGCCAATTAGATTGCCGAGCGACGGTGCATTGCGCGGCGATAGGATGATCGAGCGGCCCGATCGTATCGGCGCTCGCGTGCCAGGATCACGGTCAGGACACTCGATAGCTCGATAAGTAATGCACCTTGATAGGATGACAGAGGATACGCGCTTTAGAAGAGCGAGACAGAGGGGAGAGGGGGGGGGAGAGAGAGAGAAGGCGAGAAGGGAGATCGAGCAGAAGAAGCGCGCTTCCAGTGGTTCCTCTGGAAGTACGGACGATGTTATCGGGACGAGGTATCGAGACCGGCAATGAGTGTCCCTCTACGAAACGAATGGAACGTGGCTCATCCGCGAGGCAAAAGAAACCACGTGTCCAGCAGCGTATGCGCCGCGGTAAATGGTCGATAAATCGTCGCTCGATCTGCCTATAATTCCGTGGCATGCGAGATAACGGTGAGCGCCATAAGGTACGGACACCGCTGCTCGTTAGTTTCGGAACATGCGATAACAAGGTTTGCGCTGATTCGCATTTACGGTTTCGAGCCGCGACAAATGTGGAGCTGTTCGAAGTGAATTAGGACCAAGCCTAATTATATAAATTTGCTTGCATCCCCCTTTTTTATGTTTCTACGATATATTATTAACAGATTGATAACTGATAATATAAAATTAATTAAATCACGCTGTTCGTATTGGTGCTCTAATTAAATAAATTTTTCATAAAGCACCAATACAATAGGATAACAAGGCATAAACACGAATTATTAATTTCCTACATTGGTTAATTATTCACTGGCGACTGATTTTCTTTCCATTTATTTGACTTAACAGTTTCGCTAATTGCACCCGATTGCCGAAATTACACACCTGTTTTCGCCGGCATGTAGATCCTAATTAAGCGTAGGTCAAAGGTCGTGAGCGAGGGTGACCAAACGAACCACCACAGATTCATCGCCGTCCATGTGACCGGCGTCGCTACCGATTATCGAGAGAGAATCCAGCTGGCTGCGCTTTGTGCCAGGATGTCGTTTGATCTTCGACCACGTGGCACGGTGGGGTGACTACGAGCGCGGTGTACGAGCCGGGGTCGTTGCGGCTAATTGCCAGCTCAGCGACCACGTCAATGAAATCTGCACTTCCACATCGCGTCGACGAGAAATCGAAGGCAACCCGGGAGCAAGGGGGACAGTAGGCAGGGAGCTCTGCTCCCTCGCTCATGATCGCAACACCGGCCGAGATCTTCGTACAGCGGATATTATATTGGATGCGCTGCTAATTGGCTTTAGAGAGAACGGCCCAGCAAGGAGACACTGGATAGTCAATACCATAGGTAATTCTGTAGGCGTCCGTTTCAGTTTTTGCCTACAAGCTGCGTGTGTATGAAAACTATCTTTCTTGAAGCGCATAATTACTTGAAGAAATAATGGAAGTATAAAAATCGTCGAGCTCTCTTAGCATTTTATCTGATATCAATTAACACGTTTACATGTCCCTATTCGTGGTCGCGTGAGAAGGAATAATATAGAAAATTTTATCTTTCAATTAATACGAGAAGGTGGTATATTCGTCTCTTTGTCTCGTTAGCAAAAGTCATCGTCGGTGAAGTAATATCAATGACAATCCTCTGTACTCCCTTTACAAGCCAGAATCCGAGGAAAGATCTAAAGAAAAGAGGGGATGAGAGTAGGCGGACGGCAGTTTGTGTAAGGGTGGAAGATAAGCCTCAATTATGCCGATTGACTCCTCCAAGTGATGCTAGGTAGGGGAATTTCGCTCCTCCTACTTGTTCTGTCACGTGATCTCAGACAACCTTCCTTCCTTCCTTCCTGCCTGCTTTCCTTCCTTTCAGCCCGGAGGGTAAGATTCTTCGGGAGTAGGGAAATGCGTCGAGGCATCTCGAGACGTGAAAATGATCCATCTGCTTGACGACAATAAAGCGAGATGTGTACGTCGGGTAACACGACGTTCGAATTGCACGAGAAATTGCACTCATTTCAATTAATTATAAAAATGCGAGAATAATTAAATGAACTTTCATTCGACAAATTTAATGCTAATTAATAGTACGGAAATAATTATATTTCATCAATTGAGCTCGAGTAAAAACAATCTTTTTTTTTATTCCTTGTCTTTCTAATTTCGCAAATTGTAACTGAGTTTCTTACAAGTCGAAATAAATGATTTCACTTGTAATAAAATCTAAACAACGATAGAAAATAATAAATAATGGACAATAAAATAGTGTCAACGATCCTCGGAATCGTGTATCTGAATACGAAGTGTAGAAACCTATACAAGAGAGAAAATACCTCCCACCTCGCACGACGACAAACGTCCTAAGCGAAAATCTAAGCTGCGGATGCCAGTTTACCTGCTGGTTCAGAGGGAAGAATTTTCGGACTATCTGTTGAACGAATGAGATAAAATCACACCGAAAGTGAGAAAAAGATGAATTTAAAGTGGGGAAAAAAAGAAGAAGAGAGAAATGCCGGGGAGCGGTCTATGGTCAATGCATTTTTCCGTCTTCCTCTTTCTCGCGCGCGTTCCACCGCCATTATTTCTCTCTTTCCATCAGTCTCTCATCGTCACGTCGTCCTTGTCTAGGTGGTTCTGTTTGCCTCTCTTCGTCTCTCGCACCGAATCTCGGGGTGGTGGCCGATGGTGGTGGTGGTCGTGGTCCGGATGGTGGTGGCTATGGTGGGGGGGTAGTTGGTTCCTTCGTGCCTATACTGCTCCCTATCTTCCTTTCTCTCCCTATGGGAGGGCGAGGAGGGCCCCCGTAGCCGCGCACTGCGCACCGAGTTCATCATAGACAGAGCGATCTCCCTGACAGCTCCTCGTCGGTCTTGAACAGAGGCGGAATCATCCAGATTCTGTCTATCTCTCCGACTCTACAGTAGCGCGGTGTCGGTGTCAGCGAGCATAGGAGGGATAACGACAGTGCGTGACCTTCTCGCGTTCCTCGACCGGGGCGACTTGTCTCGATCACCACACTCGTTCCAATTCATTGTGCTCTCAGACGCTCGCGAAACTTCTTACTATTTCCTCTGTCTCACCCGCAGCTCTTCGACAAACGGCCTATCTTCGATTATACCCTTTCCCCGACGTGAATCTTTTCACCCCTCAAACGCGGATCCGTTAACACCTCTACTCCTGGAGTCCCTCACCAAACGGATTCTCTTCTTTTCCTCCCCTCCAATCCGACCCTCCACGTTTTCCTCTTCCGCAATCCTCAAAGCCTCGCCTGGCTCTGTCGTCACCGTCACACTGTGCGTGACGATCGCGGGAAGTTTGCTATTTGACTGTTTGCACGAGCGGAGCGAGAGATAGGCGCGGTTACGAGGGAGAGAGGAAGCCACGGTGGAAGAAGAGGCGGTGGTTGAAGAGAAAGAGGAAGAGGACCTGTAGCCGAGAGACGGGGAAGGGGGAAGATGGTCCGCGTGTGGGAGGAGTAGGAGGATCCAGAGGGCAACTTTTCTTTTATTTGAGCTTGACACTTCGCCGCGAGCGCACATACACCGGAAGTACCGAGTAAGTCATCAAGCCCTTCTCTCTCCTTCTGCCCGATACATCGAAAGATTGACTGATTTGTCTGGATCTCGTTTTACCGACGGAAGCAGGTAAAAGAAGAGGAAGATTAAAACGTGTTCGGAGGGTGAAAGAACGACACGATGTTACCGGATCTTCGGATAGATTTTGCCGAGAAGGGTGTCGTGAGCTACAATTTCGGGGTGCAAATCGGATAAAGCAATTGTCCAAAGGTAATCTATGTTAAAGTACTCATTCGGCGCCGAAGAGAATGCCAAAGACGAGACTAAAGCCGGTGCAACAAAGACTGTAGTGATAGTGACCTCGACGAAACTTGGCGTACACTAAGTTACGATTTTTTTCCACGTTTCGTTCTTGGAGAACCTCGACAGTATTTTCCTCCAAAGATAAGTGTATCCAAAAATGAAATTTCACCAAGTCACTTAAAGCAAATTTCACGTACTTATCGACAAGCGCAACGGAGCTCTAATGGGAACATACGTGTAAGTGGTTCATCCAAGCGAAGAGTGATTACCAGACGAACGAGTCACGAAAAGGTGATTACACGTCGAGAACGAACCTCGTCATTCAGCGAGCAAGCGAGACGACGCAATAAGCCGGCACGAGAGCCGGAATCGTGACGCGTATACGTTCGATGAGTCGCCCGATCGCCGCGGAATATTATTGTCCCAGGGTAGTTTTCGAAACGCACCCTCGAAGCAGCAAAACTGGGAGCTCTCGAATCGTACGGAACGTCAAAGGAGAAGCGCCGGTGCCCGGGGCGAGGAGGAGTTCTCGACGCGTGCCAGGCTGCTGATCACAGGCACCGCGACGAGAAGAGTAGGAGAGGGACTGGAGAATATAGCGAGAGAAAGAGAAAGGCAAACGCGGAGGGAGCGAGAGAGAGAGAAAGAGAGATAAAGGACGGGAGCAGCTTCAGCATCATCTCGAACGAGGGGTTCTTCCGTTCGGGTGCTAGGGGTGTGCAACCCTGGACGAAGGGTTGCACTCAACTCTTTTAAAGTGGGCAAACCGCGCAAAGAAGAGAAAACGTCCTCGGGGCGATGACAGGATGCCTCCGACTCGTACAGGACGTGCATACGAGGGACCGCCATCCAGGATCGCCACCAGGATCGGCCCGACCGTCGCCCTGCTGCTGATTCTCCTCGAGCATCGCCGGTGAGCATCTCTATGATCTAATTCCTCGATTGAGGAAATCTCCTTACTCTATTCAAACAACTTGAACATATTTGTCAAAATATATCACAGCTAGTGAACAAATAGCATGTATCTTGTATTCGTAAATATCTTTCGGTTTGTACCGATTTTAGCAGAGACGCCTTCCATTTTTCAAATAGAAAATACATATCGCCATAATGTATCTCCGGCTTCGGGTGTAAAATGTCGGAAATGTAATTTTTCTAATTTCATCTGCGATTAAAATACAGCATCAGAACGATCTCTTGTACGTATTTGCAAAATAACTGTCCAAGTACGTGCTCACATTCTTAAATTATGCAAGTACGTGTTCATTACACGTTCCTTGTTCGCTGTATCGTAGCCAATCTGTTTTCGCCTAAGCACCCGATCCGCCCTTCGTGATTGACTAGCAATTCACGTCTCTACGATCTCTGAGGTATCCTTTTCTCATTCTCCTCGTCTTCTTTCTTCCCCGTCACTTCGCACTTCAGCATTGCCGTGAAAACACTCTTCCGGAGAGGGCCCGTTCTCCCCCGTATCTCGATCCATACGATACTCCGATGCGCCGCGATGCACCATAATGCAGACGTCAAAACGTCACTCTCGCCCGCTTTGTCCGTCCGTTGCGACGGAGCGCTACAAATCGCGAACTCGCTCACGAAATGCACGTTGTCCGGCCCGCGATGAAAAGTACACGACAATGTCACGGGACAACCGAGAAGAAGCTGCAGCGAGCAACGGGCTCGCCGTGTCTAATCTCGCCAAGAAAAATTTACGAGCGCGGTAGCACGGCCGGCTTCTTCGCCCTCTTTTTTTTCCACGGTGCATCTTCTGTACCTGTGACGCATCTCCTCTCTTGACTCCTCTCTGTCTCTGCGGAAAGGACCCGTCAATAGGGTGTGCTTCTTCGACCCGGCGGTCGTATCGACGGTTCCATGGAGGCGCACAATGACGAAGTGCAAATAGACCGTTCCAACCGAGCTCCGCTTCACGAAGAATGAATCCCGCTGTGATCTTTATTATACCTCTCGGTAATACTAATCACGCCTTGTGCGCCAGGATCGTCCTGAACGAATCTTTTTTTTCGCAAGAAGCGTACCGGTGAGGCGACGATTTCTCAGGCAATGGTCAGCTCACAAATTGAAAAATAGATCGCTTTAGTACGGCTTCGGGGGACGTGTGCAAATGCGCGTACAAAACAGTTAGAAAACTGCATAGACTGTTAAAAATTTCTTCAACTGTGTTACAAGAGACTGGTAGGAAATCTCAAGTCGAACGGCAAGTGCACATGAATTTAGATAAAATTATTAGCGTTGCTTCCCTCTCTCTCTCTCTCTCTCTCTCTCTCTCTCTTTCTTTCTCTCTCTTAAAGAGTACCTTGGTATTTTACATTAATAATATTACCATAATAATATTCTCTTTCATTAATTTATATAACTTTTAAGATTCTCATCATGAAGCCGTTACGTTGATAAATAACAAGATTGCCGCTTAGTAAAGCTTTCAATCGCAGACGCTATAATCATAAAGTCCAGTATCGCGCGTGTAAAAGTGTCAAGTAATTAATTTTATAATCGCGGACTCTCGTGATGCTACGTTCCGCGTTTGTTAACGTCCCCGGCGCTTAGTATCGTACCAGATAATCGCCAGTGATTCGCCGCAAGTTCTCGAAATATATACACACAAACGATTCTTCGTCAATGGTGACAGCTTTGATGGCCTCTTCCCCGAGACCCATGCGGCTTCTTGTAAATAATTACGCCTAGCATCCGGGAACAGAACGTGAGTTCGTGCGTGTGAATAGATTCCACGTACATGCACTTGTGCATGCCGGACTTACAGGACGACATTGAATTACGGTTATGATGATATAATAGTCAATAAACTGGTTCGCGCGCGTCATTAACGTCTTGACACGCGTGCACGCGGTTTTCCCCGATATACGCCGTGCATTTCTTTTATACGGACACGCATAACGCAAATAGATCGTGGCAAGAAAATATGTGATGACAGAATTTGAAATGCTATATTTCAAATCTTATAGGACTGGCAAGATATTTATTATTTACTGTCGATTTGTATCAATTTACTGATACTATTGATGCTTTGCTAGATGTTTTGCTTCTGGACCACGCGGTGAATTTAAATTGGCATCTTTTAATTTAATGTTGTGAACAATTAGTGTCATATGTTTTGTGGCATTACGGATTGTGATCCTGTTGTCAAGTAACAAAGCTAACACCGATGATTAGCTTTTTGAACATTGAATTGAAAAGCTATCACCGTGTGGGCCAAGTTCTAGTTTCAAAAAATGTGTAGCCAATCACCTTGCAGTTTTCATGGAATAGCTGCAAGTTGAGGAATCAAAGTCTAAATGTTCACCACTGTACCGCTTGCGATGTAACCATTTGGATGTAACTATTGGATGTAATTATACATTGAATTAAATGACTCACGTACTGACAACCGCGTAATACTCTCATTGCCCTGTTACTTCCTATTATTTTTATTAACATAAGGAAACTGAGCTATAACTTTACAGTAAAAAATATTGTAACATAGTATTATATAAAATACAGTTTGTTTTTTATAAATCCCTTTGCAATATTTATCCGATTCATAGGTTAGCTACGCAAAATTATAAAAAATAGTGCAACAACTAGTCCCGGTCTCCCCTTTATTTAAATAACGTAATTTAAATAATGTAATTAAATAATGCAATTTAGAAGATTGATTACGATCAAATATTAGTTAGGCGAAATGTACGAATGAAATTTGAAGAAATCGTTCTAAGAAAACCCAGATGTGCGACAGTGTTGAACGATAATTCGCGATTACACCACTCGCGGTTTTGTGATATCATTTTCAAGAAATTCATATTATCGAAGAGGAGATAACGGAGTCCAAAATGTTTCTTAACAAATGAACAAGTCGTAACGCGAGTGCCCCCTGGGATCGCAAGTAATTGACGAACTAGATGAGAATCCAGTTTTATCGCCAAGTTACAGAACGCCATAACTTACGCGCTAGATACCATCTGCAGAACGTAATTCGCGGCCTATCGCATTCCCGACAATGTACTCGCCGAGAAATCGATTTACTCTCATAAGATCGAGGGAAGAGCGAGGCACCACGATATCTACCGCAGGTATTCTCGCGGATCGGATCGTGAAAAAAGGCGAGCTTCTCTCTCTTTTCTACCGGGTATATCCCATTAGACGCGAAATTCCGCGCCGTGTTCCTCTCTCATCTCCAGCAAGCAGGACGGACAGGGGAGGCGGGGGAGGGATTAAATAAAACACGTGCATCCCCGCGTTGTCGCCATCTTGGATTCTTCTGCGACCCCTTAGATTATTGCAAAAATGCGGGACACGCGCTCGCGTATCTCGTCTCCGATTTGCCCATCGGATTCCCGTGAGATCGAGTACCCGAATCGAAACTATAACGATTGCCGGTAAAAGCCTAATGCCGATCGCTTGTTCAATAAATCGATCTTGCTGCGTATTACTTGTCCTTTTAGGCCTTCAAATGTAACTTTAAATGCACGTAACTCTTAAACGAGGGCTTGATATCTCTTCTAAAGTAAACGATCTTTAATTTATTTAAAATCTCATCTTCTACTCAGGACTGTGTACGAGTGGATAATCGATTATCTATATTTTTTAACACTTTACAATTATGACGATCTCGTAGAAAAGCATTCAATCCTTTAAACCGCAGGTAAAACGTTTTCGTGGTATCGTTGGTTTGAAAATTATCCAAAGTTTGTTCATATCTGTATATACACAGCGAGAAGAGATCGTCGCGTACTCCGTGCAACGTGCGGCATCGCCGCTCATTTTTAATCGCGCATACCTAAGAGACGCGTTGAAAGAGATTACCCTCTCGGTGGATTAAAGATCAATGCAATAGCTGTAAACGCTGTGATAATCGTAGCGATTAGCGAACAAAGTTTTGCGGCCTCAACGGGACGGTCGCGCTGAAAAATTCGACGGAATAATCGCCTTACGTACTCGGCTCGTTTCTTATTCGCGAAGTGAGACGCATGCCCGAGCGGGGAAGCCGAGAGGTAGCGAAAGGAATCTCTTGATACAATCCAACTTCCTCCGCAGGTACGCGGTGTCTTCCGTAATTTGTTGGGGGAGTTAAGATCATTAATCTGCTTTCGGTAGATCATCAATAGCGCGAAAGATAGCAGCGGTGCAACGGTGTACCGGTAATGGGAGCTCTCAATAACCTCCGCGACCCTAAAACCCCCGCGCCCCGTCGCCCTTCTACTCCGTTCTTTCCCACACTACGTAGTATCGCGCCACAGAACGTTCTTTTTTTTCGTTATATTTTTTTCTTCTTATTGCTGCCCATTCTCGCCGACCCCTCTCTCCTGTCTCTGTCCCCCTCGAGTCCGCTGTCGCCGAACTTCTCCGTCTTACGCTCTGCGTTCACGCGGGTGCTATACACAGCTTTTACTTTAGAAGAAGCTCGTCCGCTAATTTGTACCCGCAGATAACCGAGCGACCCACGAAGAGAGCCTCGGCGCACAAGACACCCTGCAGGACCCCACGACTCTCCACCGAGAACCTCTTCGTGAAAAAAAATAAACTGCCCCGAGACCGCTGCGAGCAGATTAATGATCGTGGGGAGGGCTACGACGATTTTTTCGCGCTGTTGACCAATCTTGCGGGTTCCAATGATCGTCGATAGGAGGCTTTGACCGTATCTCCGCGTTTTAACGGCCTACGTTAATTGTCGCGAAATTATTATTCTGCGGTTATTTTGATTGTACGCGTTACGAGAAGATGTCGACATTCGCCGCACTGAATTCCTATCGTTTTCAATAATTCCGGGAATAGATTACTACGTAGGGAAATGGATTAGCTTTGTAGCAAAGTGGTAACCTTCGCTTCTGTTTTAACGAAAATAAAAATGCACTATTCAACTATTTCTCTTTTCACAAGAGCAATTTATCGAAGATTTCTAAAGTATCTTAACGAAATCTTGAAACTTTGAGGAAACGCAGCCCTCGGGAGCAGCTGGATCAATCCAAATCGATAAAAGAGTCGAGTTTATGGCTCACTATGCTAACTGTAAATCTGGCAGGTAATAAAAAAAGCTGTGGAAAAATTTCTAACGGCTCGTTCGTCTAGCCTTTTGATACGAGCACGTGGTAACAGAAAGCGACTGCGCTGGTCTCGCAGCGACAAACGAAGCGAACGAACAACCCTCTTCTCTCTCTCTCTCTCTCTCTTTCTCTCAATAGGTCGACGCACGCTCTCGAATACACGCGACCCAGACTGTGTATAGAACACGCACGCATGCACGCTTGCTTTTGCCGTTCCTTTTTTCACCTCGAAATTAATTAACACCCGGTACGCCGTAATACGCGGCCATTAGGCAGCAGCCGTCGCTTAAGATAGCGCTTTAAGAGCTCTCTTCCGAGAGATGGATGCCGTTATCGCGACCGAACGGGGGATGCGGGACCAGGACAGGACGGAGGGTGAACCAGGGGGAGCCGAGAGCGCGCACCGGACCCTTCCATCCGGCATCTCTCCTCCGCGCGAACGCGCGGAGGATGGCAGGGAACAGACGACAAGATAGAAACGGTTTTATCGGCTCTTTGAGAACGTTCGCACCTCTTGACCTCGGCCTCGTAAAACCGAAGGAAAGCGGACGCTCGCGTGCGGTGCACGCGTGCGCGAAAGTGCCCGCTGTGCAGCCGCGCGCGACCATAAACCGGTGCTCCAGACCGCCGCGATTAGTGCCGCACCGTACAGATTCGAAGACGCGAGCCGGCTCTCGATATTCGATGCCCTCGCGCGCCTGGCACTTCCATTAACATTCCGAATGTGAAATTTAGAAATCGCCGCTTAAAACAAACATCGTATGCTATCCATTTTTCCGTTAATTAAATAGGTACGCTAAAAGCTATCGCAATTAAGCGATACATAAACAGGATACCAAATGGATACAAATAGTTGGAAAAGTAACGTGGTTATTTTTCGAATTCGTTGCGGGCGAGGGTAAAATTGTACAAGTGACCGAACGGATTGAACCGAGTAGCTCGTTTCAGAGAGGAATCCAAGTGTCCTTCTATTCACACGCCCGTCGTAAAACATCCATGTTTTCTAGTATCTCAATACCGACAATTATCCGTAGTGTAATTGCTTGCACACCGTTATCAGCGCAGAACTCGACGATAATCAGTTTCGCGAGTTTAACCGGCTGGCGAGCTTGACCGGCTGCTTCCCTGCTTCCGCACGTCGTCACTAATTACACTCGACACATGCTAAACTAATATGTACGTTCGCAACTGAGAAGAGAAGTAACGGCGATGAAAAGACTGTAATGCGAGTATCTAACCTGGCGGTAAATACTTGTGTAGCTTATCACACACTTTCATTTTGGTTAATTTCTTGGTAGAGATATAATTCTCAGAGACTTGGAGATATTGAAACATACGTAAAATGAAGTAGGTAAGCTACCCTCAATCCTAACTTGGCGTTCATTAGTGCCCATCTACAATAGAGATTTAAATCCCAAGCCTTAAGAAATTGACTAATCACAGTCGCGTATTCTACCGTTGGTTAAACATTGGCCCAATACAACCAAGTATTGGGCCAATGTTTAATTGGTCCATGCACTGTGCCACTAGGGTACGATCCGCGTTAACGATCGGAAATTCGATAATTGAGATAAATAAAAGAGAAGAGTATCAATTGAGAACGATAGAAGATCATGGGCACGGACAATCTCTTTAGTCATATTTTCCTCTTTATTTCACAGTCAGCATCATTCAAATCAATCGAGCGCAGCCGCTCTCACGGAAAAATTATATGCCTCACTTGCGAAATTAATTGCGCGTGACATTAATTATGGTTTTAAGTAGATAACTTTAAAATAACGTATACGCACTACGCACATTGTGCGATTTTTGTATTAAGCATAGAAACGGAAAGAGATCGTTTATTTCGTTACGTGTTTCCCAACTCATCCAATCTCGAGCAAAAACGAAGAGACCTCCAATTTTTACGTATTTAATCGCATGACCTAGTAATCTTAACGATAACCGTTTATGGCAATCGAAGAAATGACCCAAGTCGATTATCACTGTGCTACCTTTTTCAGGGCAACCTGCTTAATGAGCAATTCCGTGGATGATTGGGTGAGCGGCGCTGTCGTCTGTAATGGCATTCCAGGATTGACGAAAGAGCAACGCGAGCTTTGCCACAGAAATCCCGACGTTACCGTAGCCGCGATGAAGGGGCTGCAATTGGCCATATCCGAGTGTCAGCATCAATTCATGTGGCACAGGTGGAACTGTTCGTCCCTCACACCCAGCAGCCGAACGCAACAGAGCAGTGTCCTTCTTCAACGAGGTACTAAGAATACTTAACGGGCGAAATTATCTGATCAGATCTGAACTTGCGATTAATAATCTACCCGCCCGCTAATGGCGTATTAATGTTTCCTGGATCGTTAAATTCGTCTCGGTTCGCGCTATAAATGAACGAAATATAAGATCTCATTAAGAAACTGCAGGCTGCTACAATTACGTGAAAAATAGTAAGACGGGTGAAAGTTTTTATGCCGCGAATATTCTAGTTTCCTCGAAACATAATGAGATTTTAAATGTCCTAGGTAATTCTTAGAATATACAAGATTAAATTGCACCACATTCTGTATTCATAGCAAATAATTCTTATGGTTCCTAATTCGTTTTGAGGGGGGGGGCATTGTACTGAATGCTAAATATAGCATTTAAAATTAATTAGAAATCGTTCATCGATTTAAATAGTGAATTTGCGGGGCGACAATATTCCATCTAAACGAAACTGCGTTAAGTCCAAAAAGAACAGGACAGGTGGAAAAGCGCCGTATATGAATGCACATATTAAATTAAAATTATTGGGCTATCTACATCTTGCTCGGACCTATAAGGCGTTCTCGTTTGTTAAATTCGTTTGGCCTATGAGTGGAGTACACAGTTGAAAAATTTGTGTTAAATTTAACAGATATCACATGTCCACACAAATTTTTGTGTTAATTTAACATAATATGGATATGTTAAATGATAACACTAATACTCTGTTAATATTTTAGCACCAAAATAAATGCGAATCTTAAAATAATTTAAAAAATAAATTTTCTGTAAAATTAACATATTTTTAATGATAAAAAGAATTTAAAAAATGTAACTTTTACATTTTACAGATGTAATAAGTCAAATGACGATTCGAAATCACTCTAACTTATGTTATATAGAAATAAAAGCAACATTTTCTGTAAATTCTGTAAATGTTAACAGATAAATCTTGTTACTAATAACATAGAACATATGTATTGTGTAAGATTAAGAAATAAGTATACATTGTGTTGTTTTAATATTTCTTTTCAGTTATTTTAATAATTTTACATTTGAGGTCAATTAACACAAGAGCAATATGTTAAATTAACACATGAATGTGTTAAACATTTAACACAAAAATTTTAACCGGCATTTTCTTTAACAAGAAAACACAAATTTTTCAACTGTGTAGAGCCGAAAAGAAGTCAACTATCAGAAATTCCACCATCGACGTCACTTGATTAGATACGATATGCCTGATTGGCAATTCTCGATATCTCAAGTTCGAAAAGCCAGGCATTCCTGCCTGTTTGTGTACAGTATATAAATCGCATATAATGCGCTGAACAAGTGAAGTCTACCGGAAAATTGTACGATGGTATTTCGCGTCTAGGAATAAACGTCCTGGGTGATTTCTCATCGTGTAATCGCTGCATACGGGTTCCTTGGGGATACAAAGTGGAATCTTTTACGACGTCGTTGACGGGACGGCGTAGGCGAGGCAAGGCGAGACGACGCGTTTCCTTAAATCAAAGCGCACGGCGCAACCTACCCGCGGCAGACCCCGAAAACCTGTCCCAATTCCATAAGAAGACCCTGCCCCCACGGTCGGCCTATTCCGGTGTGACATATAAATTCGTCGTGGCGCGTACGTGCGCCGCAAGAGGAAACATATATCGTGTCGGACGAATGCGCGAGAGCGCGACATCGGGCGCACCTGACCTGAAAGCTTAAGCTCGTCCGCAGACCCGGGGGCCCAGCTTCTCCCATCCGGCCCCTCGTTATCTGCCTCCGTGGATCGGTACGCCTTTTCTTGCTCGCGAGCCAGGAGAAGGTGTCGATTCCATGACTTTTTCAGGAGTTATGTAAAGCGACCCGCGGGACCGATCGTAGAATTCTAACAAGATCACTTCAAGTTCGCTCTCTTTCACGAACGTAATCCCTTTTCTTCGCTTTTCGCGAAATAGCAAACCGCATTGTTCCTGTCGCGTTAATTCTGTTCGGTTTGTCGCAACATGTTCAGCACGTTGACATGTTTTACGAATGGCACGTCGTTCTTCATTCAACAAAGCTGCATCGCTCGCACGAAAGTTTACGCCCAGCGAGAACTTCCTCGTATTCATCTTACTACGAGACCAAGCGGGTGAAAGATTCGCGATTCACCGATTATCCGTAACATTGGCAACAACCGATCCTCCATTATTAGATTTTGCTTCTACAGTCAGAGGGCAATAGCTTCCGAGAAGCTTGTACCTTACCAGGCGCGACTAACAACCACTGTCCCTTTTTAAAATATCGATGGCCAGGTGGAGAGATGGTCCGCGATCATTTGAGAAATCCACCGTGTCAAATTTGGGCCTCGGGTCCGGCATCTCTCGAGAAGGAGAGCCGTTCATAGCTCAAGTCACTCAGACACGGTTCTTTTGCCCTCTCGTTGCTCTGAACGCTGCTTCCCCCCTATCCCGGCTTCTCTCGCCTATCGTCACGATTTCGTCGGCAAAACGACTTAATGTATTATGAAAAGTACACGGAACCGATCTTCAACCGCTCCGGCTGAAGCGCAGAGCCCACACAAGAAGATTTGGACCGGCTGTCGCGTTGCCCGTACCCATACAATGCTCCACAGCTGGATTTATAGATATAAATATATTTGATGGAAACATCAAAAAATGAGAAGATTCTTTTTTTTTCTATTTCTCAGACCATTTACTCAGATTACTCTCTTTGACCAGCAAATTCTGGTATCGAGAAATTCCACAAAAATGAGCTTGTGATCTCAATTGTGTACAATTCTCCTTTTGTAGTAACTAAAAAGTCGCTGAATATTCGTAGAAATAATAAACACTTCTTATACCCGAAAGGAAGAAAAACGATCTCATTAATTAAGTAAACTCGTTGCAGCATTTATATAGCCACAGTCTGGAGGCATAAGAGATATTAATATTTTTACACGAATTTATCGAGCGTACTCTATTGAGTCATCTAGACGACGATCAATTTAATTATAATACATAAATGTTCCAATACAGTGGATTTGCTAATAATTTGCAATAATTAATAATTGTGGGACAATTTATCGAATAACGATTTTTCATATTAATCGTCTTATCATGATGAGATATTAAGGAATAGCAATAGCAAAGTATCGACAGTCTTCAATTATTTTATCTCTTTTATATTTTATCAAGCGCGCAACACTAATTGTAACTCTCAAAATTTTTGTTAATAAAATTGTTAGTAAATATCCACAATGGGGTAAATGCTTCACTCCAAAAACTTTAGAGAGAAGATTAATAAAGATTCTTTAATGTCTTCTATACCGATATTTATAAAATGTTTGTCATATTTGTAGATACTTTGCTTACGTTTAAACCATCCAGATCGTGTTTCCACTGGCAATGGTTTGAAACTAGAGTGAAGATAAAACGTGAAAGTGAAGTTCTTCATTAATTGACGTAACTCGTTGAGCCCTATTTAATTTGACGTATCTTCGATAGACGAGCCGTGCCCGAAGGACACGCGTGTCCTCGCAGGGACCTCCCCGTGCACTATCTATTGAGTTATCTAAATAGCGATTTGGACCTGACACGCGGGAGTAGCGCAAGGCCTGCGCACCATTTGTCACTACGTCGCAGCGCCAAGGCTGCTGCGACGAGAAGGGAGCAGAAATCGCTGCGCGCGTTCCTCGGGATTCCTCCCTATCTTCCACTTCGGCTTCTCCACTGTCCGGCGAGAGGAGAGACGTACAACTACCCGCGGAGGATTTATTACGCGCTCCCTCCATCCCTCTCGCTGTCGAGGAACAACGACGGTCTTGCGGCACGGTAGCTATCTGCATTATAAAACAGCTGTTGCCAATAGCCGTATATAGCGAGAGCTTCCAACTATCTCTCCCGCTATAAGACCACATAAAGGGCCCTTCTCGTCCCGTCTCATTCCATCGAGCGACTTGCGCTTCTCGGCGTCGAGACTAGCATTCTGGGCGTCAGGTCGCGATCGATATACGTGCCGAAAACTAGTGGATCCACCCTGGTCTCATCCCCGGCGTTCCTATCGACCTGGGAAATCTCGAAGAAATGCTTTGGTCCGTGACGACCTTCGGGATTCACGGAGAAGTCTCTTTAACATCGTCGGTTGCGGTCAACGAATAGCGACGTAATCAGCTGCCAGCTGTCCGACTACCTTCTACGACGACTAACGATCAAATGGATCCATTTTGTCGCATGTTCTATTGTATTATTGTGTATGTTCAATAGTAACAGTTGACAATAACCGAAGGGCTCGCTCATTTGTCATTGATACTTATCAAGGCTTATACCGTGCCACAGTATACAATAGTAATGAAACCAAATTATATACGTTAAACTATCGGAAGCTTACGCGATTAGAATGAATATGTTATGTTTCTTTTCGTGTGCTTTATACGTTCTTTCACTTAATTTTCACAACTGTTTAGTCATCCGCGAATTGCATAAATTTTAAGCTTAAAAATTACCGATAGTTTTAATTTCCAAATTTCTCACTTTTCTGATTTTATAATTTTTCACGAATATTGTAAAACTGTGCGACAAGTCCCGAATAGGTTTTTCAACGCGATAAAGAAAGATAATGTAAGCATGAGAAATAAAAAGAGAATCATTCTATCTTGTACTTCAAGACAGAATTGGTCAAAGACAGGTACCCGTCGCATCGTTTATAAATTGACAACAGTTTCGCAACTGGTTGTCTGTCAATCGAGTCTGAACGATGTCTTGGAGGTTCTGGGAGACCCTGAAGACCCACAGAAAAACTGCATGTGACATTAATTATCGCAGTAAGCCGACAACTAATTCTTGGAAATACTGTCATCTAACTTTCATTTTGAATTCGTTCGCATTTTTCTTTTCCTCTAAGTACTATGAGAATACGCGCCATGATTTTACAGTGCAATGTCTTATTTCGATTTCAAATCTACACCTGCTGTAATATATCTTAAAACATTCGACTAAAGGACCAAAAGTTATGTCACAATGAAAAATGCATTATTGTCAAATATTGACAGTTCTAATTAGACGTTGAAAATTGAAGAAATTAGATATCTTCACGCTATTATGCTGTTGTCGCCATTAAAGTTAACAGGTGTTTCGCGGCGCTTCGCGATTTCCGCGTGGAATCGGGCGAGAAATCGCGATTTGTCCGCGAGGACGGAGTTTGGCATCGCATCGCTTCAGGCACCCCGTCGCGAGATCGTTTATACATGCGGACAGTGGATGCCCGCCGGCCGCCGCTGCTGATGGCCGCACTTTGTTTTGACGGACGGCTGAATAATCTACCTCTGAACTGCGCCTGATGGCTGTCTGTCTGTCGGCCCATCGTTTCGTTCTGTCCCGAACTCGCTACCGAAGTTCCTTCTACGGAAACTCGGCTTCCCCGGTGTCCCGCTGTCTCATGATCCTCTACCTTGTATCCGCGAGAGGAGAGGAGACCAAACGCGATATCGCAGCCTCGTGTATATTATCCACGTCGTGTCCGCCGGTGTCATTGGCGACGACCAGCAATTTGCTAACGGAGACAACTGACGGTACCGGATATCTTCCCGATGTGCTTCCTATCTCAACTATTTACAAGTACCATAATGATCCCAACTTTGTTACACCACCACGTTAGCTCTACCGTTCGTATCGAAAGACCAACGCGATATAATGCACGTGCGATAGTTATCCAAGTATTTTATTTTCCATACTACTAAGCGAATAAACGCTGTTTAAGAGATGGCATGGCGAGGGTGTGATCGAGTCTAAAGGGAGTGAGTGTAGAGACACGAGCAATCGTGTCAAGAAGCGGTCGCTGTAATAAAGCCCTAATTACCCCCCTTTGTACACACGATAAACCTTATTATTATTAACGTCGTCTAGGGGAGGGAAAACTTAAAAATCGCGTATTCGACAGTTCTGCGTACGGTCGACAACCCTTATCCGGGAAACATGGCAAAAAAATACAAGAAACTGAATGAAAAAAAAATGCGGCACCTTGTGCGTCAACTTGTAATAAATTACAAAAGATCCGATTAACTTTGTGACACTTTGGACAAAACAGGAATGGAATGGTCGACTATCGATCACATCCTATTACAGGCTACAGGGAGACGGCGTTTGCCTACGCGATTTCGGCAGCTGGTGTGGCGCACAACGTGGCTCGTGCCTGCAGCATGGGCCGCCTGCTCTCCTGCAGCTGCGATCCTTCGAGTTACATGGATAAAACGCCGACGAGTACCAGCGACGCCCAATGGAAGTGGGGTGGTTGCTCTCACAACCTCGAATACGGCATAGAGTTCTCGAGACAGTTCCTAGACACGCGGGAGAAAGCCGGCGACATACAGTCTACGGTGAATCTACACAATAATCATGCCGGTCGTCTGGTAAGCACTTACTTTCGCAACTTCGACATTGTTAAACTCTGAATACGGGCAACGCGGAAATGGGGAAGGAAGAAATATTACTTTTTTAATAATCCCAATGTTACACTTGCACTTCGATGTGTCACAATGTATTCGGGTGCAGAAAGTTTCTTTGAACTTTGACCTTGCATAGGCTTTTATTTAATTTCAAAGAAATGATTCCTCCCCCTCCCCTAACGAAAATTTCATTTGATTGAGACTGGACTCTCTAATTTATATCTATTTCTTCAAAGCAATTTTAGTAGAAGTAAAGAAAAACTTAGTAGATTCAAAGAAATATGATTTCAACGTTTCCCACTTGTTTGACCTAAATAAATCTTTTTTCTGGGTGTGAGTGAAAGTATTATATATATTTCAATGTGAGGAACGTACGCGACGAATTGGCATTCCCTTACGTAATCTTTAGATTTGAGAGAGCGCGAAACTTTAATGTTTCGAAATATATGTATTTGTTGAAGATATAATTACATGTATCTTCTGTGACACAGCTTACATAATTAAATTAGAGGAAATTGTCTAATTATTCAACTATCCAGTTCTTGCCTCAACTTTTCATTCCTGTCTTGCTCTCGTAAGATTCCTTCTGGCGATATTCCACTTATATATGTCGTTTTATAGACAAGCTACGTACATGTGCGCGAACATCGAACGATCCTATTGACGGAGAAAGCTGAGCTACATTTTAACATAAGTTATTACATCGAGATTATCGTCGTCTCATGGCGGTCTCCGTGTATCCCACGATAAATGATACGCCATCTTAAGGCAGGCGCGCGTAAGAAATGTACCGTTAAATGGTTGGCGGGGAATCCCGAGAGGAAGCGAATTCGCAATCGCGTGCCGCGTCCGTCCGCGAATAATGTAGCGCGCACGCCGCCGTGCGTGGGTCCGTGAGAGAGCTTCAAATTATCCTGCGCGCGATTCGCCTCTCTTCGTCCTTTCTTCATTGTTCTGTCTTTCCTCCGGCTTTTACTTTTTAGCGGTGCGCAGTCGTCTTCCTTCTCCCCCATCGTTGCGATAAAAGAGCGAAAAAGGAGCCAGAGAGAAAGATGAACGGAGAGAGGCGGCTCGAGAGAGAAAGGGAGGGAAGAAAAGAAGGCGAGAGGCCGGCTCTTCTCCTCTCCTTCATGGACCTCTCCACGCTCGCTCTCTCGCCTCGACGTTATTAAGACGAAGCCCCGGGCTGGACCACCCAGCCGTAGACTCATTAACTGTTTTGTACGCGACACCTCTTTGTTTAAAAGAAACTGGGCCCTCCTCTCTCCCCTCCCCACCTCTCTTACCCTCGTGGCCACCCTGCGCACCCCGCATGTCCGAACAACTCGTACCTGTTTGTACAGCGTGTTAGAACCGGCGTTTTTCAGCCAACGTCACAACGGCGGCATCGCGGATATCGCAATCCGAGGGAAGGATTCGATTCCGCCCGCCTTGTCCGCTGGACCGAGGGCCCAGCACGAAAAAGAGACCCCGACCGTAGCAGGCGCAAATGAAAAAGTCGATCGACCGTTTTGTACAAAGTCAACCGACGTGAAAGCGACTTTTTAGCGCAACTTCGTTCGCTCAGAACAGTCAATATACAAAGTGTTCCCCCAAGTTAAGTGCGGTTGACCGCGGTTTTTTTCATAGAGTCTTCAACCAATTTGGAATTGATTTGGATTTTACTCAACGAACATATGGAGGTTCTTGAGTAAAATAATAGGCGATTGATATAAAGGGTAGAAGTTTTCATTTTAGGGAAGTCCATTGGACGAGCTATTAAAGCCGTGACAGTAAATGATAATCCTTTTTAAAACTATTTAAATTCATACATCACCTATAAAACGAAGTACTTAACATTTAATTAATCTTGCGTCCAATTATCTCATTGCTATTCTATTCATAGTTGAAAGAAACGAAGCGAAAAGAGACCGACTCATAACCTTCGGATTCCAATTTGTATCATGATTAATCATTTCGACACAATTACAGGCGTTGGCGAACAACATGCAGATGCGCTGCAAGTGCCACGGCATGTCCGGGTCGTGTGAACTAAAGACCTGCTGGAAAATCGTCCCGGATTTCCGAGTAATCGGCAAGACTCTGAAGGACCGTTTCAGAAACGCCGTATTGGTGACGCAGAGCAATCTGGGCAGCGTGATACCGTCGAACAGGATTCGAGGATCGCGTCGAAAGCAAAGGCAAAAGAAGCATCGCGGGGGTGGCCGCAAGAGGAAACCTCGGGATCTCCCGAAACAACTTTACTATTACCAGAAATCGCCCAATTTCTGCGAGCAAGACCCAACAATCGACGTCGCCGGCACCGCGGGTCGTAGATGCAACAAGACCAGCACCGGCGGGGATGGATGCGCCAGTCTATGCTGCGGCAGAGGCTACAACGTGGTACGGCAGCGGCGAACGGAGCGGTGCGGATGCAAGTTTCACTGGTGCTGCTTCGTGCAATGTCAGAATTGCACGGTGGAGGAGTGGATCACGGTTTGCAAATGAGACGGGAATAAGGGAACGAAAAAGAAAACACGGAAGTCTAAGACTGACGGAGATTGACGGAGATTGACGCGAATTTTTTCTCCCCTCCTTTCCGCGATCGAGCCGACGAGAAAGATGCGACGACGAAACAAACGTTGGTTCGATAAGAAATCGGCTCCGGAGATGCGCGTCGAAGATGCGCGCGACGAGGCTATTTATTCACGAGGATCGATCAAGGGGCACATGTAAAATTAATAATGCGGTTCTTATTGGAATCAAAATTATCAGGCACCAATTTCTTCTCAACTATTGCGATTTCGGAGTACATTATCTGCTAACTTCGAATCTCCGCGAATGTACTAGGAAGCTAATAATCTTTGTTAACAAAACTAGATCAATTTCTACGAGGACCAAGGAGTCTTTAAATGCGATAATTATTATTATAGTTATAATTTATTGTACAATGCAATTTTTTACTCGTCGATGTATTCGTCCTGTTTCAGGACAAACATATCGGCAAACTGCGTAGTCTTTAGAGCAGCGCATTGATTGCACTTTTCGAAAATTTATTTATCTTGAACATTCTCAGTGAGAAAGTGAATTTTTATGCGAAATTTGTATGTCAGCGAAGAGTTCAATTTCGTGGATTATGCGTAAATGATTCTTGATGTAGCAAGAAAAACAAACCAGGCGAAACTGACTGACATAAATCGTGTTCTACTGAACGTCGATTATGGAAATTATACCAATCATCTACGAATGATTGAATTGGATAGCGAAGAAACATGAATCAATCGTAGAGAATCCAATCGCGCTCGAGAAGAGATCCTGCGCAAACTACTCCGTAATGGCGTGAGTAATATAAAATGATTCATAGGCTAAGTAAACTTATAATTTATTTATAACAACTATTTAATTAATATTTAATTTTATAACTTCTACGTGAACTGTAAAACCTCCAGCACAGTATTATTAGACGAAAGGCGTGTTCCTGTTTGAGGGACACGATTGTACACAATTTAATAATGCGCGTACAATAAAGAGAGTTCCTTCAAACGATATACCCGCATCCATTTTCAAGTGTATGTATGCCGAATTGTTATTGGCAGGTAAGCCAAATAACACTTTTCATTTTAAAACCATCTTCGGTATTTCTTTCCGATTGCTTCGTCCAAATCAGCGAGATATCTTTTCTTTTATCTTAAGGACTGTTACAACTGCATGCGCATTAGAAACTTGAAAAGATCTATGCCAATCCTTTAGACGGAAAAAAGCGCATTTAACTTAAGCCGCGGAGTTAACAATCAAGGCTAATCGTCTTACAACGTCATTTCTAATTATACTTCTGTCTGACAACACGCCTACACTGCTACTGTCCACTCATCAATATTACACCGTCTGTCTACCGTCATCTGATTGCCAGATTTAAACATCAGGCATATAAAGACATGCTATTAGATAAGTAATGACAAAAAACCAAGACGTATCAGCATATATTAAAAAACCATTTTATCAACTGGTTCTGCTAATCACTTGACCGTGAAACTTTTTGTAGTGGAGAAATGTTGGAACAATTCTTTTCATATATAACGTTTGTCTCTAATTATGTCAATCTTTTAATATAATAGTTCACGATGTTGCATATAATATAATAAAAATGCCATCTTTTAGTAGCACAGAAAATTATTATAAATGCCAATCATATTCCGACTAGATTCAAATTTCTTTGGACACGTCAATATAGTAGTGTGAATATTGTTTTTCTTATACGAATCGCTATAAGTCAAAGCGTGAACAGTGTAAATTTTATTATGAATAGCGACTGATCTTTCGTAACAAGCGATAGGACCGCGCAGAAAAATGCTAACGCAGAAGGGCGGCAACCGACGTATAGGGTCTAACCTGAAGGAAGATATCTAATGATCCGAAAGGTAAGAAGAAACAATGTATTGATTTTATATATGAAACGGTGTGAGCAAAAAAAAAGTTCCATGTTTCACGTAACTCGTACGTGATTGGCACAGATATGACTCATAAGAATCAAGCTCATCGATGGCGGTTCCAAGATAAATCCCCATGATAATCTTTCATAATACAGATAACAATTTTATCTTCATTTTATATTGCTATAATAATATATTCAATGATCTTCTTTATTTCGCGTGTGTTAACTTTGCACCCCAACGATGGTTGAAAAATTTCTAAGTCCGGAGGTCGAAAAATTTTTCAAAGTTCCGAGTAGTTCTGATTGGAATTCTAGGCAGTTCTCGACGAGTTTTAACGGAAAGTCTTATGGCGCACAGCGCTTAAGTGACTCAATTCAGAGATACGCGTCATTTTTTACTAGTTTCTAAAATGTCATTTAAAGTGTGTAACTTTTTATATTTGCGGTTAAAAATTTTTTTCGATAGCGAGAACTCTTCGAAATAAACGTAATAACAATATAAATCACTCAGAACTATTGTATCTCAAAATAAAATTTTCAAAGATTTTTATTATTTTTTTAATTAACCGAAAAATTTTTTTATGTATCAGGAACTCTAGATAATCGCAAAATGAAACTATTAGACCATTCAGAACTATTCGATCTCAAATTTCGATAAGAAGTTGGCACCCGATTTTTTACATTTTAATTTCTGATCGTTAATCAGCAGAACTCTTTTTATTAAAGTATTGGAAACTCTTAAACTCTTCAAAAAGAAGCGGGAACTCCAGTCAGAACTACAAAATTTTTAAGTTGGGGTGCAAAGTTAACACATGCCTTTATTTCATAATGTCGCTTCAATACCCAATGGTAATTTTCAGAGTTGGGAAGTAACTCGTTACTTGTAACGAAGTTACAGTTATAGTTACTTCTTTTTGGCAACTCTAACTTAACTTCGTTACTTTTTCTCT